GATGCTCCATTCCAGATTTATCCCGAAATAATGAAATTTTTATTTAATATATCAAGAGTACTTAGTAATGTAAGAACAGTAAAGTACAATTTACTTACGGTAAATAAAGTGAACTACATAGATTGTTAACATTGTTGACTTGTAAGTCTAGGCTAACAAGTTTCTAGGATTAGATATTACAAACTATATTATATTATAAGAGAGGTGTGCCTTAATCGGAAATAACATTGTTAAGACTGAAGGCGATCTACTAATCCACTTAATTGGAAATACATCGATCTGTTTACTTATGAGTTAACTATTCGAAGAAACATATTAATAGAATGTTTCCTTTAAGAACAAGTAAATTGGAAATTTATTCCTAGAGTCATGGGTAATACTAGTCATTTATAACTAGAGTTACCCACGACTTTGTCTGCACAAACTTTCAACCTCTATTTCATCCCCATCCGGATAGGTTATGAGATAAAATATAGCCTCTGTCCATCCTCGTGATACAATCAATCTTCGTGGTTAATTTCGTTACAATCCATTTAGCCACTTAGCCTTTAAAAATAAAACAAACAGACAGAAATACACACTTTATATTACAAACTTTTTAACAAAATTAACGGCTTCGCACTTCTATGAAAGTTAGATTATTATTATAGACAGGTAGCACAAATTATCACGGAATAAAACTTACTCGTATTTGATGAAATGAAACTCATTATAAATGCGGTTTTAATTGTTCCAGCTGAAAATAGAAATACCGCTCATAGAAATGGAAGGAATTCCTTTTTCATCTTTATCTGTATTAATTATTCCATTTCCTTTCTAATAAATGGAATAATGAATATACTAGATATTGATACTAGAGATTTCATAGATATTGTTGCTCCATATCTAGCTACTATTTTTAATAAATGTATTGATAATGGGACTTTTCCACAATTAATGAAATTTAGCAAATTAATCCCACTATTTAAATCAGGAGATAAATTTGAGCCAGGGAACTATAGACCTATATCTATTTTGCCAGTTCTAAGTAAGGTGTTTGAAAAGATAATGTTAAATCAAATGTTACAACACTTCAGGGATAACCGACTGCTTCACAGTCAACAATATGGTTTCACCGCCGGCAAGTCTACCACTGACGCAGGTGTAGCGCTGATAACACATATTTTCCAATCATGGGAGAAGTCACAGGATGCACTCGGAGTTTTTTGTGACCTATCAAAGGCATTTGATTGCGTGGATCATAAAACACTTTTGTACAAGCTCGAACATTATGGTATAAAAGATAATGATCTAAAATTAATGAGAACTTATTTAGAGGATAGGGTCCAAACTGTAGATATTGACGGTATAAAATCTAAGGGAGCTAATATTGGGATGGGCGTTCCACAAGGGTCAATCTTAGGCCCCTTTCTCTTTTTAATTTACATAAATGACCTTCCCTTTATGGTAGAGAAAATTGCAGATATAGTGCTGTTTGCGGATGATACTTCGTTAGTGTTTAAAATTGGACGTCAAACTAATCAATTAGACGATGTAAATTGTGCTATGTCTGCTATATTAAATTGGTTTACATGTAATAACCTATTATTAAATTCCAGCAAAACAAAGTGTATAAAATTTACACTTCCTAATGTAAGACCAATAAATACACAGTTATTGCTTAATGACGAAATAGTAAATTTTGTTAATGATACAGTTTTTTTAGGTATAACAGTGGACTCGAAATTACAATGGGGGCCCCATATTTCAAAATTGGCCAATAGACTCAGTTCAGCTGCATATGCAATTAGAAGAATTAGGCAATTAACAGACGTGGCGACGGCTAAACTTGTATACTTTAGTTATTTCCATAGCATTATGTCATATGGTATACTACTGTGGGGTAAAGCAGCCGATATAAATACTATATTTATTTTACAAAAGAGAGCCATACGTTCTATTTATGGTATGGGTTCAAGAGAGTCATTACGTCAGTGTTTTAAAGACTCAAATATCCTCACCGTTACTTCACAATACATTTATGAGAATATCATGTATACGCGGAAGAATTTAGACAGTTTTAGAAAACTTAAAGACTGTACAAATAGAAACTTACGCAATAGAAATAAGCTAATTTTACCTAAATGCCGCCTGCACAAAGTCAGTAATTCATTCTATGGTAATTGCGTAAGATTTTATAATAAACTGCCAGAATCTGCACTAAATCTGACAGAGAGGCAATTCAAATCTTATATTAAACAATTTTTATGTAAGAAAGCCTATTACAGGATAGACGAATTCATAGAAGACAACATATCAAGTAAATAATTAGTTTATTAGCATACAACGTTATAATTTGTTTATCTCATTGCTTTCTTGATTCAATTATTTTAGAAATATGAAAGCGTAGCGGGTTTTGTATTAATTGCCGCATGCATTCTTATGTGAAATGTGAATACTATAAACATCAGATGGCAATTGTGAGTAGCTATGACGTGGTCTGGTGTTTTGAGTAGTCATGCTCACTAAAATGTCCAGACTTGTGGCGGCGTGGTGGGCCGGGTCATTGGGCTCCCTAAAATATGGTCGAGCGCAGTGATGGCTGGCTCATCCGTCATACTCGTGAACGGGTGCTGCTTGTAGGGACTGGTCTGCTCTAATCACTATGACTGATTTCCTCTTATTAATTGTTTAACCAGTTGGTTATGTATTCAATATTTTTTTCTTTTTGAGTATTTAATTGAATTAGTGCTAATCGGTGGTTTGTATTCACACACTTAAACTTAAATTGTAAGTAAGAATAAATTATTTAAAAGAGCAACACACAAGTTTCTTGCTTGTTCTTCTTGTGATGAGACAGCATTCCGAATGAGCGGTAGATTAAAAAAAAAAAAAATGTTATGACTATTCAAAAGTGCTTCAATGTAAGTTTATTTGAATAAATGATTTTCTATTCTATTCTATTCTACTATGTTCTGTTTCGGTTTGAAGGTACGTCTATACTATAGATGTCTTCATAACAATGTCCTGAATAAACATTAACGTATAAGAAGTATATATATCGACATCACAGAAGACCGAAGAGCTGGCAGCTACCTCGGACAAAGAATTAGTCTAGTCATTCAAAGAAGGAACGCTGCCAGTACCTTCGGAACTTTGCCTAAAGGGACGCCTATTAATAATATATTTTTGTTATTATATTATATTTTTAAGCTTTTTAATTTTAGGTTCTTTGTTGTACAACTAAGTTATGTAAATAAAGAAGTATAAAATGTAGTATAATAACTATACATACAACTGCATCTATTAGATCTGTGGAAAACCGTCTATGTCCATGATTACTGTTCTTGTACGGATATCACAGTATCATGTGATATTTGTGATACCGCTCATGCGTTGATAAATAGATGACTAAGATATCATGCCTGCATACCCTATAATTTCACTGTCTTATATCATTATCAGTCAAAATATGCTTATTCATTCAATTTGGTCAGAGAGGTATTCATTCATTTGCATTGGTGCAACGTCTATCTTGACTAAGCTACAGAACTTATTTATTAATGTCAAATCCCTCCAGTACTAAAATTTATTCTGTCATCTTATACTTATGAATCCTGTTAATATTTTTCAATGTAAATTTTATTTACGCATTACAAATCGATGTTTAGATGGAGTGTGAAGTATTCGGAGATGTGTTGACACTTGGCTCTACTGACATGTGTTGACATGTCCATTATATACAGTTGCGACATGTTGCTAAAAGTTGTTCAGTGGTCTAAGTGTGATCTAATCCCTTGATAATTACACAGGGGACTACAATCTCAGACTTTAAGGTAGAACATTAGTTCAATTTAGAAAGTTTTATTTGTTCGATATTAAAGCGATAATGTGTATAACGGCCTCAACTGAGGTTTTAGTCGTTTTACAACTAACTTCCGATGGCCGTGTATATTATTCCCGTACAATACAGACATTTGTATGTATTTAGGGATATGAAAAAATCATCTTATTAATATTATAAATGCGAAAGTTTGTGAGTATAGATGGATGTTTGTTACTCTTTCATGTAAAAACTATTGAACGGATTTTAATGAAACTTTACAGCAATACATAAGAATGACATATAGACTGTAAATTTCACGCGGGTGAAACCGCGGGCACAGCTTGTATAATATAACAATAATTAAAGTATTTCTGTCTGTTGTTTTGTACCCATGGTAAAATCTTTGCTTAATTTCGGACAACTCATAAAGCGCTGTGTAGAGCGCTGCATGAGTTGTCCTGGATTGTTCTTACTGATTCGTATACACATTTTAAATTGAACTAGCCATGATTGCTACTCATATGAAGGGTACACTCGCAACCGGAACTAAGTAAGAACAGAGTCCGGACGACAAGGTGATCTACTGGTCTATTTGTCAACGGTGTTATTCAGAAACAAGGAAGGTATGTACACATATATTTAAGTATACATTTGTATATAGAACTCATAACTACGCCAAGGTGTAAGGGCACAAATCGACGAGGTTGTTTGCGACGTAACTTGGAGCATTACGTGATAAATTAACGTTCCATTTCATGACAATTAATCAAAATGTCTTTTTATACAGTATATTAATTTAATGTAGGTATTTAGTGTTAATTGTGAATAAATAATTTCCCGTTCCACTGTTAATATTAAATAAAATACGAAAAAAAAGTGTACCGAACCTCTTCTTAAATAATTATGGAAATACTGATTCTTATAAATATTTTTATACGCAGTGCAGAGGTCATTGTCTGCATATATAATGATTGTTTTTAATAGTCATCTTCACAATATATTGACGCAGATGAAATATACTGACTGACCGCTAAGATATTTTATTCTCCACCATTCTTATTAAATTTTGGTCACTGTTTAGATTATATCGTCCTTCAAATTCAGGGTTAAAATGTTAAAATATAAAAGTCCTGTATTAAATAGAAACATAAATTATATTTCACACAAAATTTATTTTTTAATAGTTTGACTGGCGGCATATATTCTAAAACATATTTTTTTGTATAGATCTGATTAATTGTAATCTAGTCAAATCGAATCATCTTTATGCGCCAATTATTTTTTGTATAATTGAAATGCCAACCAAGCTGATGGCCTCCCTGGTAAGTATCTAGTAACCGTCGCCTATATACATAAACAACATTACATTACTTGACCATGTGATGCTGGTCATCCTACTCATGAGTTGTAATTCCAGACTACTAAGATATTTTTCCTCTTGCATCCTGTAATTTCATTGCCTTATTTCAACCCTTTAAACGAAACATAGGTTACAAATTTATAATACAACGTGCTTGGCGACTGAAATAGGTGAGACTGAGGTACTCAAGACGACTTTTTAGAAAGGCTACTTCAGTAAAATATTTATTGTTTTGCTTACTTATTAATTATAATTAGTATTGATATATTTTTTATTTTATCTAATAATATGGTTATGTAAATTATGACATATGAAGATCAATGTTTCAAAATCGTGACTTTGAATTCGAAAAAATAATATAATCCCTATCATCAATTTCGAATGAGGTTATCCCGGAAGCTTGCACAGAAGGTTATTCGCGCCGCAAAGGCTATATATTCGTTGTATTGTATGCGCCCGCGCAGTGACCGACTCAACGCGCCAGTGTATTGCGTTGTGACCGTGAAAAGTTTTTTAACGTAAGTGACGCATGTTACAAAATATGTGTGTGCGTGTGTACGTGCTTTTGTTATGAAATAATTATTTCAAATGTCGAAAATTTTAAATGCGCGGGAGAATTTTTTAGTGTTGGCTCATGTAGTGTAGTGATTATGGTTGGTACTTATAGCAATAGTTCACGATCACCAAAAAAATTATAGATATCCTATTTAAAAAATAAATAGGTAAACTATTAAATTAGGGTACAAGAATTTGAAAACGTAAATATTATATGTCCTTAAGTATTTTGATGCAAATCTAACATTAACAAAGATAGAGACATACTTTGGAACTTACCCTTACTTCAATTAAGTTCTTGATTTTCCTTCCTATAAGGCATATAAGTATGTACGATTTATCTAAAGTAAAGAAATTATTAGCAATTTCTTTATGAAATTGTAGTAACTTAAAGCAGGAAAGATAGTTTAACTGATATCTAGTAAAAGAATGTTTATCTGCTTTTACTGCACCGATCACTGTATATATAGTTTTAAAATTTCAATACATATATTTAATAGTATTCAATATTCTTTTTCTAAGATTATATATATGTATATATACCTAATGAATAGTTTCAAATATTATAGATAACTAGCTGTCCTGGCAAACGTTGTTTTGCCTTAAAATAAAAAAAAAAATTTAGGAGTGGACTACCCCTGACATTTAGGGGGATGAAATATAGATGTTGGCCGATTCTCAGACCTACTCAATACGCTCACAAAATTTCATGAGAATCGGTCAAGCCGTTTCGGAGGAGTATGGGAACGAAAACTGTGACACAAGAATTTTATATATAAGATTTATCAAATTTGTGTTGTGTTATCTATACTACGATTTAATTAAAGCCGTTGCACTATTTTTTATATAGAAAATTTAAACTTTGTAAAAAAGCACGTTTCTTTCATTTAATCATAAGACTCTCAATGGAAAAATTTGCATATTGTCTTATTTCAACGATCTATATATATAAGGATCGTCTTTAAAATCTTTTCTCTAAGAAAAGAACGCTTACTGCACTGTGCTCCAGAATTAGATTCCATTCAACATTTCCTAGACATTAAATCCTGCATACTTCCCTTGTAGGATATTCTTGTTCGTAACGTAGTTGTTATAACTGACGTTCTTTGTTCGGATATATTTTTATTGAAGCGTGCATGACAGAAATTCTTGTAATTTCTTTTAATACATGTATAAGTTGTTTTAGTCAAAGAGTTTTATTAAATGACTTTGTACATAATAAATTATGAAACGCTTATTAAACATACGGTATTGTGAATTTCAGTTATTTATATAACAAACTTAGAGATATATTAAAAATAATAGGTATTTATAATTGGGTTACGGGTAATTTTGTTGATTATTAGTGAATGAAAGCAAAGTATGTAGTAATCTAGGATAATCTCTGACATAGAGAATATTATAACCGCTAATATTACTTTAGTGGTTATATAATTAGTACTATAGACGTATTATATGTAAATATGATACAATTTCGTATATCTAATATTATTTATTTATTGATAGAAATATCCTTAATAAATGTAAAGTATTTAAAAAACGATTTATACAAAACGTACAAGGTTTTGTGTTAACCGCCCTTTAAAACCGACGGCCTCGGTGCTCTAGCAGTTCTCTAGCACATCGCTTACTTCCGATGATCACAGGTTCGATTCGTCGCATGGTACAAACATTTGTAATCATGAGTATGATTGTTGGTATCGGCCTGGGTAATTTCTGTGTATATTATATATGTATTTACAAAATAAAATTCAAAGTATTTATATCAGTTGTGTAGTTAGATTTTTTTGTCTAAATTAATTAATGCTACTACACCTGGAATTCCTTTATTACCATAATAATATATACCATAGTATATGATAAACACCAAATGTTAATTAGTTAGGTGTACCTAATATACTATTTATTTTTATTTACAATCTGATTGGTGGTTCTAATTATATTAGACAAAAATAATTTCTAAATTAAGAATGAATTATGCTTAACTTATATTAAATATTCTTTGAATATTTCCAAAACCTTCAAAGAGCAAACTTTGGTTTCAAATTAATATCAAAGATTCATGATAATTTTGGTTTAACTTCAAATTTGTTGAGGCATTCATTTTAATATGTATCTTTATTTTGCTTATTAAATGTTAATAAAAGTACCATGAATAATATATATAGATATATATATATATATATATATATATATATATATATATATATATATATATATATATATATAACTTTGTTGTACAAATTTTAGACTAGTTGATACGAAATAGTCAAGATAAGTTTTAAATTACATTTTCTAGAGCATATTTAGAATTGCTATTATAATCTTAGTAATGTGATATTATTTTAAAATACAGATATTATGAATATTAAATATATAATGTGTAGTCATTCAAATATCAAGCCTTAAATATGTTTATTGGGTAAGAGGTAACCAGAAGAAATACCTAATACGTTAGACAAGAGCAGGAAAACTTTATTTCCAATTTTCCTGCCATATAACTTATAACCAAGCTTCCGCGCCAGAGAATTGATAATATGGTTGTGTGCTCTTCCAATAAAGATAGATCTTATTGCTTAGACTAGTTGTTAAACAAATCTACCGACAGCGAATCGATTCCTATTACCTGCAAGAAGGATGTGTGCAATATTTAAGTTATATATATATTTTTCAGATCAACATGCGTTATCTGATCATCGCTACTGCATTTTTGGCGGTGGTGCAAGCCAGGCCTGGATTGATTTTCACCCAACCCTTGCAGCCTATTGGCGTTGAATACGCCCATGATTCAATACCAGCAATTAGAGCCCATCCAGCAGTGGAACTTAATGCAGCTAGTGAAGCTTTACTACCACGCGATTTGTTGAAATCCAGCGATTTCTACGATAACCCATTAATCGCTTCTGGTCTGGCGAAGGAGTCGTGGTTCACCAATAAAGAAATGCAAGTCGTGGAAAGAGAGGCCGAGAAAATTCCACGGCAGAAAATTTATAATATCGTCAAGAGTGCCGGTTTCTTAGATAGCCATTAATATATTAATATTATTTAGTTTAGAATTACTTTCATAAACGAAGATCCACATGAATTTACTTTGTTTATTTCTTTTATTAGACACTATTTCTTCAATAGGATACATGAACTATTAGTGTTGTAAATATTTTTCGTATAATTTTAAGTAATTATAATTTAGAGTGTTATGGCCTAATGGTACATATCCTTATTGAGATCGAAAGTTCGCTAGTGCGATTAAAAAATCTTTATATTAATTTCCGATGGACTCTCCGGTGATGGAAACACCGATAACAAACCACATAAATCGGATAGACGGCGGTAGACTCGCCCCCTGCCACGTCACGGATTCCAATATACCCAACGAAATGTGGGCATGTCAAGTATTCGTTCGTCGACATATTGACAGTTGACTATGCTTCTGACCATCCCATCTGGGATGGCGGTCGTGAAGGTATATTATTTTAATATGTATAAGTATTATAAATATCGTCACCTTGTATACCTAATATAATTCTGTTAGCTTAACATTTTTACTTTGTGTCTCTAAGTCATAACTTACAATGTAACGAAACGAATATAACCTTTAAATGAGTAATTGTATATAACTATCATTAATTATAAGTGTTTTGATAAGTAATGCATTAAGTGTATGTAAATAAGAGTTGGTTTAAATTATGCGCGTAATTTAATTTGTAAACCGGTTTTTCTATTTATCTTTATTTAGGAATAATATTTTTGTACAAGAATTTAGTTTATTATTTACTTATATTTTTAAATTAAAACTATTAGTATATTAATACCACTGTGATCTCGAACAATAAGTACATTAAGTAAGTTATTGTTCAATTGTTATTATTAAAAAGAAACAATTGTTTTTGATAAAAAATATGTTTTTTAAATTATATTTTCCTTGTCACAATTGCTGCCATATTGCGATTTTTTGAAGCTTCTACCTCTTTTACACGTCACCCAACACTCATGGACTGGTTTTTGAACGAAATCTGAAAACAAATATGACATCTGTACTAATGTTTGGATGTTTGGGGCAAACTTCAGTACTAGTGATCCCATTTGGAAAATTCTTTTAGTATTATATAGCCTATTTATCAAGGAAAGCTATAAGCCAAATAACATCACGCTATAATCATAAAGAACGGAACAGCATGAAAAATGTTGCAGTAATGGGGAGAATATGATAGTGACAAAGTTAAGTGAGTCAGGCAACTAACAATAACATGAAATACACGATTGGTTTTGCTTATTGAGGTGTGGTGTGGTAAATGTTTTGCAAATGCAGTATTTACATACTACATAATTTTCTAAACTGACGGAAGACTTAACTTGTCCTAAGTGTCTTTAATAAACCTACTGCGATTAGTTTTAATTTTGAATAGGAAATGAAAATTAAAAAGACTAAAAACACGAATTTTGAGAATTTTTTAATATTATTAATATTGCTAATAATAATGACATCTCTAAAATTACATATATAAACTTAAATAATAAATAATATATATGAAGAATAAGTATATATTATAAAAAGTATAATACTAGTATTTTTTTAGTAAATAAATCTATACTAATATATATAGAGACCGGATTTTGTTATTAAAAAAGTAAACTCCGGAATCACTGCATTGATTTTAAAAATTCTATGTCGAAAATGTGCGGTGTGTGCAATACATATGTACATGTAGATTATATCTACAAAACTCATTAAGTTAAAATTACCCAACAAATCCAGAGTGGACCAGCAGGTAAGAAAAGTAAAAAAAAACATACTCATTACCAACTTGTAGAAAGTTCAAATTATTATGAATGGTACCTAATATAAATCATGCATCATCGGCGCCAGTGTAGGCGTTCTATTGGCCAGTAAGGTTCGATCTGCAAGTTATTTTTGGTCTACAGATACGTGTATCTACGGGGATACATTCTATGGGTCTTGGTAAATTGGTTTTCAATAAGACGAAGGAGTAGGATTTCACGAGAAGAGCTTAGGAGGCGATCCCTCTGAGTCAACACTAGATAAAGTTCGCGTGAGGGTATTTTCTTAAATATCAAAGGAATTCTGTTTTACTTATTTATAGCCCGTTTATTCAACGTGTTGGTATTTTAAAGAGAAAATGTCAGTAATCAAAGACTTAACAAGCGATGTATTTTTTTTAATTAGTGAAGTCTAAAGAGAAATGTATATTGGAAATTACGAAATTCGTGATATTTCTTTGTGAGACTTCGATCTTACAAAGGAATGTTCTTAATTTGACTGTTTTTATATTATCACTATAAATATTAAAAAAGTGATAATATATTAATATTTCTATCAATTATCGTCCAATTTTCAACTTTGATAAACCTGTCTCATTTCAACGCGAATCAGAACTACAAAAGACCTGAGTAGAAGTTTCAGCTCCTATCCATACCCTCAAACTGAAATAGTAATTAGGTAGTTCGAAAAAACACCGATATGTATAGTCCGTTTAGTTGGGAGATTTTCCGTATTTTTTTGATTATTGCATTATAATTGAAGACACATTTTATTTATTCACATCATACTAAGTGAGCTTTACAGTTTCTCAATATACTCACTTACAGAAGAAGAAGAAGGAAGATTATATATACATTAACTATAAGAAATACGTTTTTAAGTATACCTAAATAATCTATTGCTAACCAACGAAAATGCAGTAAATTAACAGGTATTATTAACACGTTAATATAAGCACCCCATCTTTATATACTATTTTAAAAGGGTGCTACGAAGTCCTTAGGACAATAATATATAAGCAATTGTAAAAGAATTTGATAGACGGACTATCAGATAATTCCACGCACGGTGTAAAGGGCTGATCACCATCTTGAAGGGTAGTGGAAATTTTGATTAGAGTTTGCTATTATGATGTAAGTGTCCACAGCAACCAACGTGCTAACAAAGGATTCTCGAAATTCCCAATAGATAACAAGTTCTTCATGTACAAAGCCGCTGTAGATGACATATATACCTATATACATGTATGTATAGTCTCATGAAGTATTGTTTAACTTGAAATTATACTATGAATTTAGATTATTACTTACTATAAAAATTTTGGCGTTCTATACAAATGCCAGGAGATATTATTAATGACGACTTTGCACAGAATCAACTAAGTATATATCTCACATATTTCTAATGCTGAGGATTTTACTTTATAAGGTGCTTTTGGGCTTGAATATTATTTCGTGACATATATGTAGAAATAAAATAATGCGCCGGCATGATACGTTAGTTCTCAGAAATGGCAATGTGTAGGAATATAGCTAACGGTTTTGATTTTCCATCAGGTGAGTCGTCAACATGTTTGCTATTCCAGCTATATACAAATTATGCTTAAATTTATTTTGTATAAACAATCTAAATTGGTCAATTTTTAGGGGAACGAAGTCCATGCAGACAAAGCTGAGGGTTAACAAATTATAAATGAACTTAAAATACTTGTAAGTACAGACTTATCTCCTCTATATATAAGCGTGGGAGGATAACCTTTTGGAAATATCAGACAAAGATTAATTATATTTCTTCTTTACTCGTAGCTATGAGCTATATTAATAAGAAACGATATACTTACATTTCAAATTCGTAGTTATTGGGGTTCCGTAATAAAAAAATAAAAATAAACACACAGTTACTACTACTGGTGATCCTTTCATTCAGATATATAAACGTTATATTGAAATAATTACTAACGAAATACTTAGAATTTCAAATAAAAATCAAGATAAAAAAAAGTGAGTAAGAGAGGATTGAAAATAGAAATAATAAAAATTTCGTTGCGTCACCACGCTGTATAGAATAGAATAGAATAGAATAGAAAATCATTTATTCAAATAAACTTACATTGAAGCACTTTTGAATAGTCATTACATTTTTTTTTAATCTACCGCTCGTTCGGAAAGCTGTCTCATCACAAGAAGAACGAGCAAGAAACTTGCGTGTTGCTCTTTTAAATAATTTTATTATTACTTTGCTGTTTTAGATGTGTCATATTATCATAGAGCAAGACGAAGTGTAATATGGCGTTGTCACGCCAACACTATGTTTAGGATGAAGTTTTCCTTTAAAAAATGCAAGGTGGTAGCTTAATAAACTTTCAAAATAGCCTATCAAATAGAAACAAACATACACAAATCAAATATTTCTTCTTTATATTATTAGTATAGGATTTTTAATGTAGACTGACGTATACCTTTTTTGCTATCACAATTGAATTCATGCATGTCGCAGGTATCAATGAAGGTTCTCATCTCGCCGCAGGAGTCGATCCCGCACACTGGCACTTGATCGTGGCGGCATATGTCCGCTATTTTACATTCTTCATCTAGCTATAATATATTGTTACCATAATTTATTCTAGTTTTAAACCCACAGATATAAAAATATATATTTACCAGCTACTTGCCCCGGCTTCGCACGGGTGTACATGTATTATACATATAAACCTTCCTCTTGAATCGCTCTATCTATTAAAAAAACCGCTTCAAAATCCGTTGCGTAGTTTTAAAGATTTAAGCATACATAGGGACGGACAAACAGCGACAGCGACTTTGTTTTGTACTATGTATCTAATGATAACAAAGAGGTATGTTTTTTATAATAAAATTATTATCAAGGCCTGCTCTACTACTAATTAAAATAAATTAGCAGTGCATGCCTTAATAACAATGATTGTATGAATCTATTACGGCTATGTTTATAAAAATAAATGTTTTTCCAAGCATTTGAAATGCAGTTTTCTGTAACTTAATGTAAGATTTTTCAATATAATACTATCTCACATTTCAGTTCCACTATCAAATTACATTAAGATTAAAACTGGTACAACTTAACTATCGCTCTTTTTCAAAACATACAACAGTCATAAATCAATGTGTTGGCAACATAAAAATCACTTCTCAGCATTCCTCACGATATTCTGTATATCATATACAGAATATCGTAAGGTAGGTATCAGAACTAAGCTGCTTATAGTTACTCCGGGTAAAACAACACATATGTGAGTATAGGAGAAATTATGAATATTTAAATAAGCACGCTAGTCTGGTTCCCCAGATTACCATAACCATAGCTGTGTACATCTACACAAATACAAAATTTTAGGTCTCTCTCTCTTTGTAGTATAGATAAGTTTATATAATAATTAAGTTTATCAAAATATCTTATCATTTTTTCCACTTACCTTAGTTCCATCAATGTGTGCGTAGGAGTTCTGAATTAATATTGATAAACCAATTATAATTATAAGACAGTTGATATTGGACATATTAATATAGTATACATTTGTATTATTTTATTCACATAATATTTTCTACTCTTAGCCTATCAAGTGCTATGTGATAAAAAATTCATAGGCATGTACGTTATATTCGATTTGAAAAGCTATAAAAGTGGTTTATTCATTCTTATTGTTTTGACTTACCTACAACGATATATTACATTTTAACACAAATATGATTATATTGTTTACGATGATGAAATGTTTTAGGAGAAACTTAAGATATCAGAAGGTCATAAATGTACTATAATTTTTATTTTAGTAGACTTTGTAAAAAGTTGTCTGTGTAGAATCTATTTTAGCCGCCAAGTATCATGACTCAAGCTGTGTATTGGTTGTGATAAGGTAGTGAAATTACAGCTTACAAGCATTAGCATTACAATGGTGCATTGTAATGAAACTGAATAGAAATGGATGATTGCTATTGTGAGCGTCTGTTCATGCAGGCACATGGATGATCGTTACTGTCGCCCATCAGCTAGTTCGCTAAAACATCACATTGTTTTTTGTGTGGTATTTTTTTACAAATGAAACGAAAATATATTATATTATACTCTATTATTCGTCTTAGTGTTAATGTTGCAGTCTGTCCTAAATTCCGGCTTCTTGAAAGATCGACCTCTCTTACATGTTACCCAGCATTCATGTATAGGACGTTGTTTGAAATCTGAAAATTTTGAGAACTAAAGTATATTTTTGGATTGATGTAATAGATTGGTGTACCCATCTGTGTTAAGTTTACGCTGGCCGGGCATCAGTGGAGATGATTAAAAGAGCATTAGGTGAGGTTTGTTAGCCCATTGTGGCAAATTTATTAGGAATTTAACATGGTTTTCAGGGGGAACCGCGTGGGGACCTGACTAGGAATGGAGTTCTTAATCAACGTTACTAACAATCCCTTTACCCTCAGTATTATAGCATTTCTAATATTGACATAAAAGGAAAAAGCAACTATCTGTACGTGAGCGTTTTAATTTTTTAATATCAGACATCGGTAAGTAGGGGCAAAAAAATGAAAATGAATATTATACCATACCATTCTAGGTACAATAAAACTTCTTATATTATGAATAAATGCATTTGATACTGACTTTTATTTACTATATGTCAAACTATCGGAATAAAATAAACTATAATTACTAATATACTTCTTATTACAATATATTAGTAAAAACAGAACCTTATACCCTTTCTGAGATTGTATGAACGCACTGATAATATTTCTAATAATCATTGCTTTCGGTTCTATTACGTTTGTATAATCCCCCAATAGTTTTTCTCATATACGTATATTACAAAAATAGCGATCAGTTACATTTTTATTATGTTTTATTATTGTATACATAAGTATTTATAAGGAGAAAAAGTATTGTTATTATTATAATAATAGTAGTATTATTAAGTTTTCTTAATCGAATAAATTTTTCGGCTGAAAAAATCTAACAACAAAATTGGACTTGTAACAACACATATATTTAATTTTGTATACCTTTTTTGCTGTCACAATTGAACTCGTGCATATCGCAAGTGTCGATAAAGGTGCGCATCTCGCCGCAGGAATCGATCCCGCACATAGGAACCTTGTCATGTACACACAGATCAGCTATTTTACATTCTTCTTCATTCTACACATAGATTATATACAGAATTACTGCTTGTGACTTTGTATACTATATATGAGACTAGCTGTACCTACGACTTCGTACGCATGGAATTTAACTTTATTTTTCTAAAATATAAGTAGCCTAAGTTACGCCTTATTACATCAGCTACCTCCCAAAAAAAGTCCTGTCAAAATCGGTCCAGCCATTTCAGAGATTAGCCGGAACAAACAGACCGATAGACAGACAGACAAAAACTGTAAAAAATGTTATTTTAGTAATGTTTCTTATTTATATTTATATGCATGTAGTAAAAAACGGTTATTTCAATATTACAAACAGACACTCCAATTTTATTTATACGTGTAGATCAAAGATAGATCATGACCTTCCTCCTGATAAAAGATATCTTCATGTTAAACAGGTAGGCAGATTTTCGAACGGCCTCGGTGGTCTAGCTGTTTAGAACACCACTTTACTTCCGATCTTCGCGGGTTCGATTCCTTGCGTGGTACAAACATTTATAATCATGAATATGATTGTTTGTATCAGTCCGGTTGTTTTCTATGTATATTATGTACATATTTACAAAAAAATATATATAACTAAGTATTTATATTAATTGGTTAGTACTCATAATAATAGCTCTACTTACGACTAGATAGCGTTGTGTACATTATATAAAAAGTAATTGTTTGGACGTGGATTTCCATGTAAGGAATATAATGTGAAACATTTACTAACCTTTATTGATTCACTGTGACTGTTTACAGATGATATTAGGTATAAAAGAAAAGCTGAAATAAATTTGCAATATCATTGTTAGAAGTTACATCCTATTACACTAAAGATAAGCAAATCCGTTTACAAATAATTTGTGTGACTCGAAATCAACTGTCGATTTGGGTCTAATTTTATACTTAGGTAAAATTAAGTAAGTAAGGATACCTGCCTTACTTACTTAATTTTATCTAATTAGGTGTTTATAGTGAATAAATAGATCTTGAAAAAAAAAAACGCGTAGCAAAGCTGTGTCGCCCAAGTACTTTATAGGCAGTATAGTACTTACTATACTGTAATAATTGTGTTTGGGGCATGGGCCTGTGTTGCCCCCTTCTAGATTTGGGGCTGGTTTTTTCCCGTGACTTCATTTGACTGTATTACTTTGATCCGGATAAAGTAATCCATGCCTTTCTCCACGTCATATTCCATATTTGTGCTAAATTTAATCACGATAAGATGAGCCGTCAAAACCAAAAAGGGAATAACCACATATAATTTATTATGTTTAATATTAAACTGGATTAAACGGGATTATTTTTTTCAGGGTTGTCCTAATAATAATGTGGTGTGATACTATAAATATAATACCTATCCAAAACGTAAAATGTCAACCCTTGCAAATGTCAAACTTTTGCGTACAAATGACACAATTTAGGAGGTAGAATCAAGTTCTAGCCTTAGATATACCTACGTACCAATATAAATAGTATAACTATACTAGCTATTTCCAGCAAATTAGTTTGCTTATTTTTAGAGAAAAGATAACTTATGTCAGTCCCCGTAATAATCAATCCACATGCCAAATTTAATTATGATCTTTTCAGCTGTTTATTTTAAAAACATTAAAAACAGAATACGCTTTTTTATATATGTACATATATGAGTACAGTTTAGTTGCAGTTTTAAGAATAGTTATCAGAATCTTAGAACATGAGCAGTTTGTGCTGTATTTTTATCGAATTTTATCTATCATTATTATATATGTATACATAGATATATCCTTTTACGACATAGTACTGACATATGCTCTAATATTGGAAATTTAGAAATATGTTAATATATTATATTTCACACTTCACCTACCTCGTGATATTTTCATGGCACTGCATTGTAACATGTAGTTACCTACTTATCTACCCGAATGTTTCCCACTTGTATTATAAAAACAATTTTCTTGGTTATCGCTTAATAAAACAACATTTCATTGCGTCTACTATTTATGGAAATTCATGGTATTATTTTCTGATACATAATTTTAAATACAATATTTGTATTGTATATATTTTAGTTCTTTTTATGTCTATTTACTTTTCTATGTTCATGCCAGCTTCCATGCGTGGTAGAAAGTCTAAGAAAGTCCAGTAAAATATTTTTCACACGGATTTTTTTAAATAAATGTTATTAATATTGGTTTAATTATAAGATACACTTTTATATGTTTATATTATGGAATAATGTAATGGGATAGTATAACTTTACAGATATGTGGTTTTATCTTCAATTTGGATACTCTTTTTACAATTCTGTTCAAAGTTTGTTATTTTAAATGGTTATAAAGATCATATTTCAATGATAGGTACTACTAGGTTATTTATTAATATTTGTTATTATTAGCTATCTATTATCAAATGTATGGAAATCAGTATTAATCTTACCTTATTTAGTATAATTACATGTTGATAGCAATAAAAAAACATTTAATAATAAGTATTTAAATAGTTCACAATTTATAACTTTATTTACGGGAATCATAATTAATGTCACGCCGCAAAAATACAAGAGTAATAGTTCAATTTAGCTCGCAACTGAGATCCGTATCAACGTTCATAATTCAATCAAAACGTGCTTAGTAACAATAAATCACATTTCGAGAATCAATACTCTCTTAACAATCTTGATCGCTCTAATGCTAAAAGTAAGATAAAGTAGTATTTGAAAATTAAACAAAATATTATAGAATACTAAATTTATAATTATTAACATAGTTGTTAAAACCAAGAGATTCTTGAGTTAGTTGCTATTCTCTAACCTTTGTGCTAAAATATTTTTTAATCATCACTTAATTTAACACTCTGTTATACAAATAATTGCTATACATGAACACTTCATTCACAACGAAATTAGGTTAGAATCAAAAATGAGAGTAAACGACCTCAAGATGACAATATACAATTGATGGCAAATTGACGATAATATTACAAAATATTAATACACACAAAATTTTGCCTTGAGATTTATTAAAAAAATCTATTTTCTTTGAAGTCAGTTGGTAAATGAACTGATTTTAAACAATCTAGTAGTGATTCGGAAATTTGTTATTGCCTTATTATCGCATGACATCACAAAATTTAAATGAGTACAGTTTTACTTTGCGTAATAACATTTTGCAGTTTATGAATATACAATAATATAAACAAAATGATATAGGTAAACCTTACTATATAAATAATACTAATACTAGACAAAAATGATGGTTTTCACTGACTGTTTCCAGTCCTTTAGATACTGAATAAACTCATTTCCACAGTTATTACATTATTACTCATATGAATGAATGAATAATTTATTTACAGGCAAACACTGTAAATAATTAATTATATTTCTACATAGCACAATTGTAATGCGCAAAACTTTACAAAATAAAATACTGATGAAATAATTATATAAAAATAAAACTACATTTATGCAGTAAAAAGGGTCAATGTCAATAATCAATCGGTAAATATAAACACAGAATTTAGGGTTAAATGATAATTTCTTTTTTTATCTTTAAAAAGAAAATTATATTTTCTTTAATATCATAAAAAGGTTTATTTTTAAAGTAAATTACTTAAAGCAGGTTTAGTTTTCTTAATTTAAATCTTCTTGAAATAAATAAACATATCAAATATCAAGATACTTAAAGCGTAGTTCTCAATTTCCTACACTATAAGTGGCTGAAGTGTCTCGCTTGGACTATTTGTTAGATGCCCTGAATTACAAGTCTATCGTTATGAAGTCTACAATTTATGGTGAGAGATATTATTGATTTATTCAATTTAAAAACTTAACTAAGAATTAATAGCAAATTCAATTAATTTTACTGTCTTAGGTATCATGATAATTTTCATAGTAAAGTCGTCCTATCAAATGGCTATAGAGGATTTAGAAGATATATTTCTCTATCCAATAGATGCTCCAAAGGTGAGACAAATAAATATTAACTAATTATAGACGTATTAGAATCAGCGGATACAAGTGCAACTTTTTAATTTTGCCAGAGAATTGAGAAGCGCGACACGTCAATGCAAAAGAAAGTCTTAAACAACTTTATAGAGGATAAATTGATCGAACATAGTCAGGCGTTGGAACATCTCCTCCGAATTGTTGAAAATAATGAAGAGTTAATTAAACAATTAGTTAAAAATTTTACTACAACTGTTGACAAGCCGAAGTTACCAGAAAAAATTGAGGTACCTAAACCAACTAGACGTAATAATGGAGATGAAGAAATGGTAGACAATAACAATATTATTTTTAGATATGGAAAGAAAATTCCAATATATGGAACCCTATTTAAAAATGTTATTTTGAAAAATTTTGATGATAGAACAGATCCTATGCCGTTAGTAGAAAAAATATGAGTAGTGTACTGAGTATTTTGAAGAGGTTCAAGTTATAAAAATATTTTAATTTATTGTACTTATTTATACATATACATTTCCATCTATAGGTCATATAAATAAATTAATAATATTTTAAAATGCTTTTAATTTCTGCTTATTCATATTAATAGATTATTTAATGTTATTTACTATAACTTAATTTCTATCCTGTCTGTATTAGAATAAAAATCTTTAGTAGCTATTTAGTTTTTAGAATGACTGTGTACTATTTTCTAAAAGTCAACTTCTGGGTCACCTATTCCACCCGCCAAGCAGCAAGCAATTTCTAAGCAGTATTCTACTCTTAAGGTGAAATATGGCAGTGAAATTACAGGGTACGAAAGCATAAGCAACTAAAATGTCCTACATGAATAAATGGTTTTTGAATTTGAATTTGCTAAAAAATAATATTAAGAGCTTCTCTTCTTCCAGTTTATGTCTCGTCGGTCCATGCAAAGTAAGCCTGTGATTACATCAAGTTTGTCAATGAATAACGACGCTATCTGTTCCGTATTCCGAACCTCCTTAGTCTAAGCAGGTTGTGTCACCGGCTTGCTTACTGGAGCAAAGGGCGCTCGGTAATACTGGCCACATATAAAAACATGTGGCCACTTAAATTTTATAAAAAGGATAAAAAAACAATTGAAAATAAGAACTGGAATAAAAAGGACGCTCCGTATTTTTATCTATATAAAACAAGATAATTAAGGAATTATTTAACACAATATAATTGTTTTTGATGAAAATATACACTCTAGAGTGCGTGGCCATTAAACAGTACTACACATCGGGACGTTCCTGAGCAAAGGTGAGTAAGTTTGGTGTTGCATTGCTTACTTTGGGGTGTTCGGAGTGTGGAAGACGTTCTTCCAGGTCGAAATCGTATTTTTACTTCCTTTTCCATTAATTATTTTCTTTTCAATAAATACAGTCCACTCTCTCTCTTTTATATATTAATTTATAAGGATTCGTAATCCAACATTTTTTGGCCCAATCGAACCGGATGAAATACATCCTATTAGTTATAATATTCATTTATCCAGTAATTCAGATAATTATATATATTATATTGTTTACATTTGTTGTGTTTTTCCTAAAATTATAGCATCTCATTTAATTCAATAATAGCTGAAATTAGTTGCAAGGAAGCACATTATTTTTTTCATATAGGTAGTTAATATCAATAAAACAAATGACGACCAATTCTGAAATGGATTCTAAACAAAAGATTTTAAATTTTCGAAAGGAATATTTATATTCCAAATTACAAAAGGTTTATGATATGTCACAGTCTGTGACTAAAAGTAATTTTCAATTGTATTTAGCTGAATTTTCGGATTTAGATAATGTTAGAACACGTTTTGAAGAGACGATTATGGAAATATTACAACTCGAAATTCAGTTAAATCCTGATACTAAATACTCTACTAGGGAATTGGATTCATTTGATACATTATACTCTGCCTGTAGATCAGTAGTAGTGAAATATCGAACGTTAGAGAGTACCTCAACGAATAAACATTGTGATCAGGTTCAGCCGTCTTTGCCCAAACTAAAATTATTTGAGTTTGACAGCCAATTAGAAAACTGGACAACCTTTCATGATACTTTCTTATCATTGGTTCATGAACGTAATTTTGAGAATATTGATAAATTTCATTACTTGTTATCTTGTGTAAAAGGTCCAGCACTTAACATAATTAAGAAATTTCCTATCACTGCCAATAACTATCCACTTGCCTGGCAATGTTTAGTAGACAAGTATCAAGACCACAGAATATTAGTAGGTAGGTATTTAGATAAAATGGTTAACTTCACTCCGATAGGAAAGAACTCTGCGGCAAACCTAAGTTCATTCATAGATACTTTCGATAATTCATGGAAGGCAATCGAAGCGTTAAAAGTGGATAATATAAGTGATTATTTAATTTGTCATTTAGCGTTACGTGGATTAGATACAACCACTAGAAAATTATTTGAAGATAGTCGTGATCAAACATTACTTCCGGCATTCGCAGAATTAATGAGTTTCGTAAACAACCAAATTAAAGTACTCGAACACACATTTCCTAATTCGTACTCCAGTCCCGTGGTACTGGAAAATAAACCCATAACAAAAAATCAAACTATATACAATAAACCGCGTTTTTTATCGGAGAAGCAAGCTCTTACTACTTCATCAGTGTTGTCGAATAATAATATTAAATCTAATAATATTAATTCTAAATTTATTTGTCTTCATTGTAATCAAAATCATATGATTTATAGGTGTGAACAGTTTCGTAAACTGTCACCGGATGCCAGAATTGACCGTGTCAAGGCATTAAAGTTATGTACTAATTGTCTAAAGACAAACCATGATAATTTGTCTTGTAAAAGTGTAATGAATTGTGGTGTGTGTGCGTCACCACATCACTACTTATTACACAAGGATGCGGGACATGTGTCGACCGTG